AATGACTGCAAGGAATACAATAGCAATGAATAGGCTATAAATAATACCTGTAGCTTTACTTAAGTGATGGTATTTTGCTGACCAAATCTTGGAAGCATTTGGAGCAGTGTACCTAACACTTATTCCATTGAAATCAGTTCTGTTGCATGGACACTGTAATCCTCTTCTGAGTATTACTTTGAACCTGTGAACAAATGTCTCAGTGTGGCAAAGTCATCTTTTATTTGGTAGTTTTACTTGCTCATAAAGCTGTGAGAAGACTGTGGCAGTTCATCTTCTCCATCTCCCGTGGACTGCATTTACTGTACAATCTTTCTTTCTTTATCTGCTTTTGAAAAGAATGTGGAAAACATGCCTTCTATTCTAGTACTTCATTATCCTTACTCATTGGAAATTTTTCCTCACTTTCTAGCCTAAATATCTCTTGACACAATTTCAGGCTGTTAGATCATGTCCAATATTCATGAAGCAATCTGCTATACTTTTATATTATGGTTTCATATTAATTATATAAACATTCTTGAACAAATAATTTTACATACTGTGCCTTCTGTCAGAGTTTGAATTCAATAGTAAAAGCAACAGCAGAAGGTAAAATGCCAAACTTTTTGTTTGAGGATGCACTTCTAAAAATAGTGCTTCATCTCCTATGTTTATCTGTAGATTCGTAAACACACAATTGACACTTATGGATTGTGCTTTCTTGAGTATTAGTCTTTAAAGTCGCTGAAACAAATTTCACTGTACTTGCTTCTGAGATAGTCTGTGATTGTCTTCAACATGATCATCATTCCAGGCTTATCTTTCCTTCTTCTTTTTTCAGCATTTATTATTGAGAAGTCTGACTGCCAAAATGTCTCTAAACTGAGTTTTGATTCAAAATTCAAAATAACCTAAAAATAGGTAATAAAAAAATAGCCAACATAAATGCTCCATAATTCCTGGGGAATGTTGCTTACGATGAAGTACAAATACATTACTTTTTTATCTTAACTAGTCTTTATGTCTTTACTAGAAATGCCTTTTAATACTTGTTTTAAAGGAACGCTTATATCTGCTGGTACCTGAACAACTGATTTTTTTGGTCTTCAGTTGCTGACAAGGCTGCCTACCTGATGGGTCTGAACTCAGCTGACCTGCTCAAGGCCCTCTGCTACCCTCGAGTCAAGGTTGGAAATGAATATGTGACCAAGGGTCAAACAGTGCAACAGGTAACAAAAATCCCTGTTTTATTGACACGTCCTCTGGACATCCTCTTTTGCTCTGCATGATAACTACAAGCCTTCTGTTTTTTATTTTAGGTATACAATTCAGTAGGTGCCTTGGCAAAGGCTGTGTTTGAGAAGATGTTCTTGTGGATGGTTATTCGCATCAACCAACAGCTGGATACCAAGCAACCGAGACAGTACTTCATTGGTGTCCTGGACATTGCTGGCTTTGAGATCTTTGATGTAAGAACAGTGTTTTATTACCACACTTTTAGAAGTAAATCTATAGTGTGCCAAAGTGTTTAAGAAGGAATGATGTCTTTTTTTTTTCAGAAATGATTTGATTCTTTCAGACTGCATCTAAGACATCATGATTCTCACAGGTTTTTAACTGTGAATAGATTTTTGTGTTGCACATATACCAATGGAAATACATAAATGTAGTTATTTGACTGATACCCAACAGTAGACTAAGGATGGCATTGGGTACCTAATGCAGATACACCAGTTCCATAGACACAATTTGTGCTTAGAAGGCTTGGGACATGCTTTGAAATCAACATTTGGAAATGTTGCATAAACTGTTGCACTGTGGACTCTCCTGTAACTGAATTAGATGAGTTGAGTAGAAAACAAAATTGACAAGTCTGAAATATTAAACTGGCTTAAGCTTCTAGGGGTCATAAACCTATGGAATACAGTTCAGCTTGACGAAAGAGACAGACTGACACAACTTCCAAAGTCCTAGCTGAGCAAAGACAGAACACTCACAGATCCTCCTGTACCTTGGTACAAAAAGCCAGCACAGTTCTTTATCCCTAGCTTTCTAAATTTATACTAATAGTAATCTATATTTGTAACCATGCAGTTCAACAGCCTGGAGCAGCTGTGCATCAACTTCACCAATGAGAAACTGCAACAGTTCTTCAACCACCACATGTTCGTGCTGGAGCAGGAGGAGTACAAGAAGGAAGGAATTGAATGGGAGTTCATTGACTTTGGGATGGACCTGGCTGCCTGCATTGAGCTTATTGAGAAGGTATTTGTGTACTTCATAATGTCAAAATATTTTCAGAAATGCATTAATTTTTATATATTTATAAATGTAGCTTGAAAGGGTAAATGAGATATTGTAAATACATAACTTTAGATTATTTTACAATTGCTCTGCTGAGCAGAACAATCCCCAAGAGTGTTAATATTGTCCCACTCAGGAAGCTATTTCATTATCTGTAATTCTTTCTGCCTTTTCACCTTTTCCTACCTCCTTCTGCTTCTTCCAGCCCATGGGCATCTTCTCCATCCTGGAAGAGGAGTGCATGTTCCCCAAGGCAACTGACACCTCTTTCAAGAACAAGCTCTATGACCAGCATCTGGGCAAGTCCAACAACTTCCAGAAACCCAAGCCTGGCAAAGGCAAGGCTGAGGCCCACTTCTCCCTAGTGCACTATGCTGGCACGGTGGACTACAATATCTCTGGCTGGCTTGACAAGAACAAAGACCCCCTGAATGAAACCGTTGTGGGGCTGTACCAGAAATCATCCCTGAAGACACTGGCCTTACTCTTTGCCTCTGTTGGAGGAGAGGCAGGTAGGTTCTGTGAAATTAATATTTTCATTTGTATCTAATTATTCTACTAGATCCATAAATATCAATTAGAGTGTTCTAAAGAAACAGTCTGTTGTGCAGAGTCTCCCATGGCTTGAATTTATTAATAAAGGAAAAGATCAAATGTATTTTAGGCCTTCTACTCTGCCATGATAATCCCTTGGATTATCACACACCTTTGTTCCTTGTGTTCCTTCAGATTGAGTGTTGACTCTGTTTCCCACTGCATCCTAGGTTCCTTTCTTAGCATGACAGACACATATGAACATGCTTCTTGCAGTCTCATAGAGAAAAATTTTACAAATAAAAGTTGTAAAACAATCTTTTTTTTGGTGTTCTGCAGAGAGTGGTGGTGGTGGCAAGAAGGGAGGCAAGAAGAAGGGTTCTTCTTTCCAGACTGTATCAGCCCTTTTCAGGGTAAGTACAGAAGTCATTCTCTCTATTTTTTCCTCTTTTTTTTTCAGTTGAAGATTGTTAAACCTCACACTGTTGCCAACAAGGCCATTTTAATGCACCTATTAGCATTTTACTGCATCAAGAACATCTCTTCAGTTATTCATAAAAGAGCTCACTGCAAGTCAGCTGAGGCCATCTGAGGAAGATACATCTTGATCTAGCCTTTCTTCCAAGGTTTGGAAAAATACTTAGGTCAGGCTACAGTTTCATTTACTCATGAGTACACCAGTTGGTAGGATCAAGCTTCTCCCTCTCTCCCTCTGCCTTGGGAGGACCATGGTGGATCTGGCAACCTGCCTCAGGGAATCTCAAGTCTGGATTGGCACATACAAATGCATGTGCATTTGCACATGATCATACATAACACATAATACCTAACACATAATTGTTTGCACATGATTGTACATACGAAGACAAGGCAATAGAGAAATGCCAAAGCCAGTTACCTTTCCACTAATGGACAGAGTTTAAGGCAGATGAAAACACTCTTGTTTCAGCACCTGTGGCAGCTAGCTGCTGTCTGGCATCCTGAACAGTTTTTCACACTGTGAAAGAGGTATGAGCAGCTTTGCCTCTGCTCCAAACCAGGGCTAAACTGAGAAGTGTTAGGACCTAGCTAGTAAAAGTGATTGATAAAATCAGAGATAGTTCATGGTTTGCTTTTAAAACCACTTTTAGATAGAGGTGCCAATGGACCTGCCTTTTCTCTATGACTTGTGACCCTATTCTCACCAAACAGGGAGTCTTTCTCTGCTCAACATTTGTCAAATATATCTTCACAAGTAGCACCTAATGCAATTAGGTGTAGAGTGCTAGAGTAGCACTTGTAGGAATTTTATACAGCGTAGTTTAAGTGAAAAAGGTATCGGACTGAAACAGCTGGAGATCAGTGTCCTCTTTTCATCTATGACTGATAACCTAGACAGTAAAGTTTTCCTTAATTTGCTGTCACATTAAGACTTCATTATGACTGTATCTCTAAACAAGGGATGAAAATCCAGCTTCCTTTTCCCAGCCTCTTCTGCAAATTTGGTCTTTGCCCCTCTTCCCTTTTGTCCTATTTTTGGTTTTCTCTCTGTTCCCATCAATAGTCAGTGTCTTCCATAGAGTGAGAATGTGGTGATTACAAAGAGATATCTTTCACTCAGAATTACATCCTTTGTCACAAACTTCTGGTCACCATTCTCCACAGGTGCTATGTCTGAGTGGATGTATCCCTCAGTCTCATGAAAACACATTACACAGTTTTGTGACTTTCTCACATGCTCAAAACTGAAAGGCAGAAGTAAAAAATTAAGATGGCTATAGGTGGGAATAATAAATCCATTATTGCTTTCCAACAATTTTCTCACATCTGACAGTATAACCATAGAGGTACCATTTGTTAATGAAAAACTTTGCTCGTGAACCCACAGGAAAACCTAAACAAGCTGATGACCAATCTACGGAGTACTCACCCCCATTTTGTGCGCTGTATCATCCCCAATGAAACAAAAACACCTGGTAAGAACCTCAAGTAGTGAGAAATTATAGTGTGATGCAGCCATTAGTCTCTATGCTTTATCATGAAATATCAAGTAACTGCCGCCTTCGTTTAGGTGCCATGGAGCATGAACTGGTGCTACATCAGCTGCGCTGTAACGGCGTGCTGGAAGGGATCAGAATTTGCAGGAAAGGTTTCCCCAGCAGAATCCTGTATGCAGATTTCAAACAGAGGTCAGTCTCCTTTCTGCTCTCCGTGCTGTCTTTATTGCATAAGTTGTACATCTTAACTATTTTAAAATTTGTGGTTAATTTTTAATGCCAATTCTATCTGATTGCAACTGGCAGAAGGATAAAATGCTGGAATGCATAACCAAAGGCAACATGTATGGGGAAAAAAATGAGAAATTGTTGAGAAATTAAGAGATATGTCAGGTGTCCTCGAACAGCTGAACTTTGCCAGTGTCTCTGAATATGGAAACACAATAGAGCTACACAAGCCAGAGATTACA